CAGTAGCAGCAGGAGAAGCAACAGTAGTAGCAGTAGCAGCAGTTGCAGGAGCAGTTGCCAAGGGGACAAGGGGCGGGGCCGAGGGGCCTAGGGGCCGAGGGGTCAAACACGAGGGTGGCGGGGCCGAGGGGCGAAGGGGCCAAGGGTCCTAGGGGCCGAGGGGCCGAGGGAACTAGGGGCCAAGGGGCCAAGGGGCCTAGGGGCCGAGGGGCCGAGGGGCCAATGGGCCTAGGGGTCGAGGGGCCGAGGGGTGGGGCAGAGGGGCCAAACACGAGGCCGAGCGCCCAAAGGGGCCTAGGGGCCGAGGGGCAGGGCCGAAGTGGCACGGCTAGGGACGACGGGGCCAATGGAGCCGAGGGGCGCGGCTAGGGGCGACGGGGCCAACGGGGCCAAGGGGCGCGGCTAGGGGCGACGGGGCTAATGGGGCCGAGGGGCGCGGCTAGGGGCGACGGGGGCGATGGGGCCAACGGGGCCGAGGGGTGCGGCTAGGGGTGATGGGGCCAACGGGGCCGAGGGGCCGAGCTAGGGGCGACAGGGTCGACGGGGCCAACGGGGCCACGGGGCGCGGCTAGGGGCGACGGGGCCAACGGGGCCGAGGGGCGTGGCTAGGGGCGACGGGGCCAACGGGGCCGAGGGGCGCGGCTAGGGGCGACGGGGGCGACGGGGCCAACGGGGCCGAGGGGCGCGGCTAGGGGCGGCGGGGCTAATGGGGCCGAGGGGGGCCGAGCTAGGGGCGACGGGGTCGACGGGGCCAACGGGGCCGAGGTGCGTGGCTAGGGGCGACGGGGCCAACGGGGCCAAGAGGCGCGGCTAGGGGAGACGGGGCCAACAGGGCCGAGGGGTGCGGCTAGGGGCGACGGGGGCGACGGGGGCGACGGGGCCAACGGGGCCGAGGGGCGCGGCTAGGGACGGCGGGGCTAATGGGGCCGAGGGGGGCCGAGCTAGGGGCGACGGGGTCGACGGGGCCAACGGGGCCGAGGTGCGTGGCTAGGGGCGACGGGGTCGACGGGGCCAATGGGGCCAAGTGGCGCGGCTAGGGTCGACGGGGCCAACGGGGCCGAGTGGCGCGGCTAGGGGCGACGGGGCCAACGGGGCCGAGGGGCGCGGCTAGGGGCGACGGGGCCAACGGGGCCGAGGGGCGCGGCTAGGGGCGACAGGGCCAACGGGGCCGAGAGGCGCGGCTAGGGGTGACGGGGTCGACGGGGCCAACGGGGCGGAGGTGCGCGGCTAGGGGCGACGGGGTCGACGGGGCCAACGAGGCCGAGGGGCCGAGTTAGGGGCGGCGGGGTCGATGGGGTCGCGGCTAGGGGCGACGGGGCCGACGCTAGGGGTGACGGGGTCGACGGGGCCAACGGGGCCGAGGGGAGCGGCTAGGGGCGACGGGGCCAACGGGGCCGAGGGGCGTGGCTAGGGGCGACGGGGCCAACGGGGCCAAGAGGCGCGGCTAGGGGCGACGGGGCCAATAGGGCCGAGGGGCGCGGCTAGGGGCGACGGGGGCGACGGGGGCGACGGGGCCAACGGGGCCGAGGGGCGCGGCTAGGGACGGCGGGGCTAATGGGGCCGAGGGGGGCCGAGCTAGGGGCGACGGGGTCGACGGGGCCAACGGGGCCGAGGTGCGTGGCTAGGGGCGACGGGGTCGACGGGGCCAATGGGGCCAAGTGGCGCGGCTAGGGTCGACGGGGCCAACGGGGCCGAGGGGCGCGGCTAGGGGCGACGGGGCCAACGGGGCCGAGGGGCGCGGCTAGGGGCGACAGGGCCAACGGGGCCGAGAGGCGCGGCTAGGGGTGACGGGGTCGACGGGGCCAACGGGGCGGAGGTGCGCGGCTAGGGGCGACGGGGTCGACGGGGCCAACGAGGCCGAGGGGCCGAGCTAGGGGCGGCGGGGTCGATGGGGTCGCGGCTAGGGGCGATGGGGCCGACGCTAGGGGTGACGGGGTCGACGGGGCCAACGGGGCCGAGGGGCACGGCGAGGGGCGACGGGGCCAACGGGGCCGAGGGGCGCGGCTAGGGTCGACGGGGCCAACGGGGCCGAGGGGCGCGGCTAGGGGCAACGGGGCCAACGGGGCCGAGAGGCGCGGCTAGGGGCGACGGGGTCGATGGGGCCAACGGGGCCTAGGAGCGCGGCTAGGGGCGACGGGGCCAACGGGGCCGAGTGGCACAGCTAGGGGCGACGAGGCCAACGGGGCCGAGGGGCCGAGCTAGGGGCAGCGACGGGGCTGAGGGGCCGTGAGCGACGGGGCCTAGGGGCCTGGATCGAAGGGGCCGCGGGGCCGTGAGGTGGCGCGACGGGCCTAAGGGGCACGACGGAACTAGGGGGGTACTAGCAGCGTAGCAGGTGGTGGGCCCAAGGAACCTGCTCTGATACCATATCAAAGTAACGAACGAGAATGAAATGAACTAGCAGCAGGATGAGTACAAGTACTAACCCTGAGTTGTGTTTTACCCCATATAGGCTACCCCAATACAGACTACACAATGTGCAGCATATAAGTCTGACAGGTGGGCCTTAAGAACGTGCTTTGGGTGCCCAACCTTGTTGCGAACCTGATTTCTGTGCGGCGGTTGCAAAGGGCGGGCATGGACACGAGCTTGAACGGAGCCAAGACCTGCACCGCAACGATTGGCGTGCGGGTTCTTTGGGACCTTCATGAGGATAGGGATGTCTACAATGAGATGTTGCAGATCCCTGTGGTCCCTATGCCTAAAGAGAGGCAAGTGGCAGCAAGCGTCAGCACCAAGGGTGAAGTGGTTGGTAGCGGCTACGGCGCGAACGATGGCGCCAAGGCGAAAGAGTCCAACTAGTGCAAACCCGGAGGGACCAGCAAGCAGTGTGAGCTTGAGGAGAGTGGTGCAGCAGCCAAGGAGCAGCACAAGGGTGAGGAGAACCCCAAGGCAGCAGCGGAGGAGGAGTACGGAGAGAGCACGTGGGGCACTATTGCGAGTGCGGCATTCTCCAATCCGACTTCGGCTAAAGGGGAGTGTGATTGGCTCACCATGCATCGGCGAATGGGGCATGTGGCCCTGCCCATCCTGCAGAAGCTAGTGAAAAATGATATGGTTGCTGGCATACGTGTGAAGGGGGAGCCTGATGAGGTACTTGGCTGCCCGACGTGCATGCAAGGCAAGTTCACCCGTTTTCCGTTCTCTAGTTCGGCACCGATCGAGGGGGAGAGTTCTTGAGCAAGGAGTTCTCATTGTGGCTGAAGAAGAATGGCATAAGGCACTCCCTTACCATGCCATACTCCCCTGCAATGAACGGCATCGCCGAGCGAGCAAACCGGACAATAACGGAGACGGCACGCGGGTTGCTCATTGAAGCCGGGCTACCCAACTACTTCTGGCCTGATGCGGTGCGGAGTGCGTGTGTGGCCAAGAACAGAGCTTTGACTCATGTGGGAGCAGACCAATGGGTGCCCTATGTGGAGTGGATTCAAAGGAAGCCAAAGGTGGATATGCTTCGGGTGTTCGGGTGCATGTGCATGGCGCTCGTGCCTAAGCATCTTCGGCACAACAAGCTCGGTGCCAAGGCGATATGGGCTGTGCACTTGGGCATGGCTCAAAACAGCAAGGGGTGGCTTCTTTGGGACCCATTCACAAAAAACTTCTTGGTGAACAGGGACTGCAAATTCATGGAGAATCTGATGTACAAGGATTGGAAGGCGGAGAATGAGGCGAAGATAGGCGTGCGGTTTGGGGAGGTGAGGAGTTCCTGTTTGGAGCATGTGGAGCTGCCCTTGGAGATGGGCAGCGGCAGCACCACCACAAGGCAATCTTCCCTGTGAATGGGGGAGAGGAGGCTATGGATGCAGAGGAAGAAGAGGAGGAGGAGCAGCAAGTGAGCGAGCGTGCACCGACACTTCCTTCTCGCACTGCAAGTGCTCCACAGATCCGAGTCACCCCGCAACAACGCCATGAGAGCCTTCATGTCCCTGCAGCTGAGGAGGAAGGAACGGGCAAAAGGAGAATCCAAGCCCCAAATAGGCTGACCTATGAGGCAGCGGGAAAGCCAGCCAAGTCAGCCTTGGCCAGAGTGACAATGATGGTTGGAGATGACGTGGAACCAGCAACTCTCAAGGAGGCCTTGGAGAGTAGTGATGCTGAGGAGTGGAAGAAGGCAATGGAGAGTGAGCTGAAGAGCATTGAGAAGAACGGCACGTGGGAATTGGTGGAGCTACCGAAGGGGCGTAAGGCGATAACGTCCAAGTGGCTCTTCAAGATCAAGTCCAACGCAGACGGCAGAATCGAGCGCTACAAGTCTAGGCTTGTGGCCAAAGGGTACCAGCAGAAGGAGAAGGTGGACTATAAGGAGTTGTTTGCTCCTGTGGTGAAGCCGACGACGCTGCGAACCCTACTCGCAGGAGCTACCATCAAAGGATGGGTGGTGAAAGAAATGGACATGACAACCGCGTTCTTCAACGGCATTCTCGAAGAAGATATTTTCTTGGCACAGCCAGAGGGGTTTGATGATGGTAGTGGCAGAGTTTTGAAGCTGAAGAAGGCCCTTTATGGACTGAAGCAAGCCCCTAGGCAGTGGTACTTGAAGCTGCGAGAAGTTTTGGAGGAGATCGGCTTCACGCCCTCAACGGCTGATCACTCATTGTTCATGCTTGGCGAGGGGGAGCAGAGGAGCTTCATGGTGGTTTATGTGGATGAAATCCTCATTTTCTCACCCTCCTCTGACCTTGTGAAGGAGGTGATGCTGAAGCTTCAAGACAAGTGCAAGGCCCTTGGTGACATGAGCTTCTATCTCGGACAAGAGGACGAGAGCGTTGGTGAAGAGGAGAGGCGCCGTTTTCACTCGTTGGTGGGCAGCCTCATGTACGCGGCGGTAAACACCCGACCGGACATCGCCTTTGCAACCGGACAGTTGGGGAGGGTTGTTCAATGCCCTAAAAAGGAGCAGTTAGCAGCTGGAATGAGGGTGGCCAAGTATCTTGGCGAAACACCGACCGTTGCGCTGCAATACTCGGCGGCGGCGCAAAAGCGCCAAAAGGGCGCAGATGGTGTTGAACCCGGGCATTTGTTCCTCACCGCATTCTCGGATGCTTCTTATGCATCGGAACCAGAGGACATGACAAGTGTTGGAGGGTTCATTGTCTGTGTTGGTTGAGGCCCAACTTCTTGGGAGAGCAAGAAGTAGGTGGATCAAGCATTGAGCACGGTGGACAGTGTGGCACTGTTTCACATCACTCTGCCTTGGCTCTTGGGGTTTGTAGGAGCTGGGAGTCATTCCCAACTCGTTTAACTCTTCCTAATTTGTGTTCTAAGACTATAGTGGCTGCCATAGTGCCGTTCGTTCAAACCAACGTTGCGTTGTCAATTCGTAATGAAATCGTGCAATCTAAATTGCCAATTCATTTGCAGCTGTGACCAGAACGCTATCAATGTTTGAAGCTGCTGTGCAGAAATCCGACTGTGCACTCTATCTTTCGTTTTAGGCACATTGAAGCCTATTGTGACTAAGGACGTGGTTTCCCACCTGCGCACTAGTGACGCTCGCTACAGTGCTACCGTCCCTGCTGAACTCCTTGACAGGAACCAGCCCCAAATGTCAGGGACCACTTTCTCTCCCTTGACCCCACCTCCCTCACTGTTGACCTCCTAGAGCAGCATCTCCTCACAGCTGAGACTAGTGCAGTTGCTATAGGTGCTGCTCGTGGCACTCCGCGCCCGCCCTTCTTTGAGGGGTGCTCTCCCTCCCCCCTTGCCCCCTCCTACGCCTCTGCTGCTGCTGCAGACGTCTCTGTTGCTGAGGACGTCGGGGCTGCTTCTGCTAGTGCGAAGCGCCGCAGCAGCAAGGGCAAGGGTGGCAGGGGTGGTGGAGGTGGCAGCGGTGGCGGTGGAGGGGGCAGCGGGAGTGGTGGTGGGGGCAGGAGTGGAGGTGGTGGAGGCACTGGAGGTGGTGGCAGCGGTGGGAGTGGTGGCGGGGGTGGGGGTGTTGGTGGCGGCGGTGGAGGCAGCAGTGGGAGTGGCGGCAGTGGCGGCGGTGGGACTGGTGGCGGTGGGACTGGCGCTCAGCGTGGAGGTTTTGGAGGTGGCCAGCGTCAGCAGCAGCAGCGTCGGAGCGAGGCCCAGTCGCCCCAGCAGCTTCGTGAGTGGTTGTTTCAGCTTAGGCCCTCTGGGGATTGTGATAGCTGCCCGTATGTCATTCGCAAGGGTGTTCGTGCTGGTCAGACATGCGGGAAGCTTCACACTCAACACCGCTGCTTCTCCCGCCTCGACGACGCTTGGCGTGCTGAGTTTGGTGACGACGTCGAGCTCCCTCGCTGGGCAGATCTTCTTAGGTCTAGGATTGCTATCTTTGACCTAGACTTTGATGCTATTCTTTCTGCTATGTATGCTTTGTCAGTTAGTGCTGAGGGTGACTGTTACCGGTGTATGCCGCCTGACCCTGGTATAGCTGCTGCTGCTCTAGGTGCTAATGAGTCTGGTACTCTCCCTGGTACTGTGCCTGCTCAGGCCTTGCACACCTTCATGTTGGACTCAGGTGCCTCGCGCTGTTTCTTTCCTGACAGCACCACCCTCACTCCTCGACCTGCACCTATCCCGATCAGACTGGCTGATCTCTCAGAGGGCCGGGTCCTTGCGCGTTCCTCCACTGTCCTCCCGTGTCCGGCGGTTCCGTACGACTCACTGTCAGGTCTTCACCTCCCCTCGTTTTCGACGAACTTGGTGAGTACCGCTGCCCTCGAGGATGCGATGGTCACTACCACCACTCTTGGGGGTCAGCGTGTGTCGATCTGCATGTGCATTCGGACCGGGCGTCACCTCGCCACGTTCACTCGTTGGCCAGGGTCGAGTCTGTACACACTCGCTACCGAGCCTCCTCAGGTAGCTGCGTCTGCTCAGGTGTCCGTGTCAGGTCAGGTAGCCGCCTCTTGCTCGTGTCGCCTCCTGTCACACCAGACTCTTCTATGGCACCACCGCCTGGGTCACTTCTCCCTGCCATGCCTTCGTGGCATGCACTGCCGTCTTCTTGTCTCTGGTCTACCCAGGTCTCTGCCTTCTCTCCCGCCCTTGCCTGCCCCGCCCTACCTTCCTTGAGTCAAGGGGCGGCAGTGCGCCGCTCCTCACTCCTCGTTTCCCTCGACGACTACTCCCCTGCAGACACTCCACATGGACGTGTGGGGCCCAGCATGCGTTAGTGGACAGGGCCGCGAGCGCTACTTTCTGCTGGTAGTTGACGACTACACGCGGTACACCACGGTCTTCCCCTTGCGCAGCAAGGGTGAGGTCCCTGATGTCTTGATCCCTTGGATCCGCACAGTTCGTCTCCATCTCCGCGAGCGGTTCCACCAAGACCTTCCTGTCCTGCGTCTGCACTCTGACAGAGGTGGTGAGTTCTCCTCCGACCTCTTGCGGGACTTTTGTCGTGGGGAGGGCATTCTCTAGTTGTTCACGCTTCCGAACTCCCCTTAGCAAAATGGGATTGCTGAGCGCCGCATTGGCTTAGTCACGGAGGTCGCTCGGACCTCCATGATCCATGCGGCTGCTCCCCATTTTCTGTGGCTGTTTGCGGTCCGGTACGCTGCGCATCAGCTCAACCTCTGGCCCCGTGTCTCCTTGCCGGAGACCTCGCCCACACTGCGTTGGACGGGGGAGGCTGGCCATTTGTCGGTGTTCCGGGTCTGGGGATCTCGTGCCTTTGTTCGCGATATGTCCGCGGACAAGCTCTTTGTGTCAGAATCCCAACCACTAGACCATTGGGATAAAAGGGCTTGTTGAGTAGCGGGTCAGTGCGCCCATAACCCCCCAGGACAACGAGCCTGTAACCCTTCCGTAGGATCAATCGGGGATCACTAGTGGACCTCTGACACCCCCCTGCACTGGGATGCCCGAAGTGCAGACACTGGGATTCGAACCCGAGACCTTCGCTCTGATACCATGTCAGAATCCCAACCACTAGACCATTGGGATAAAAGGGCTTGTTAAGTAGCGGGTCAGTGCGCCCATAACCCCCCAGGACAACGAGCCTGTAACCCTTCCGTAGGATCAATCGGGGATCACAAGTGGACCTCTGACACTTTGCCCGTGCTATCCCCTGGGTCTTCCTTGGCTTTGTCCCTGACGCACCTGGCTGGCAGTTTTACCACCCCACCTTGCGCCGTGACCTCCCTTCTCAGGCTGTCACGTTTGACGAGTCGGTTCCCTTTTACCGTCTCTTCCCCTACCGCTCTACCCCTCCCCCGCCCCCGCCGCTCTTCCTTGCTCCCGGTCCCCCTCAAGTAGACCCCCTCCCACCCCAGGGTCCTGCTCCCTCAAGTGTGTCTCAGGTAGACCCTCTCCCTGGTACTGCGCCTGTCCAGGTAGCTGTTGGCTCGGGTGCTGCTCGAGGTGCTGCGTCTGGGGGTGCTGTGTCTGGGGGTGCGGAGCTGGGGGGTGCGGAGTCTGAGGGTACTAGGTCTGGGGGTGCTGAGCTTGGGGGTGAGGAGCATGGGGGTGCTGAGCTTGCGGGTGTGGAGCCTGGGGGTGTTGAGCTTGAGGGTGTTGAGCCTGGGGGTGCTGAGGCGGAGGGTGCGAAGTCTCGGGGTGTTGAGCCTCGAGGTGCTGCTTTGTCTGGAGGTCCTTCTGGTGCTTCGCCGTGACTGTCTCCGCAGCAGCTGCGTGAGTGGCTTGTTCGGCACGCACGCCTTCGAAGTGGAGCTACCGGAGCTGGAGGCGTTGGAGACGCTTCAGCTGGAGGTGCTGGAGTTACTGCTGGAGCTGGTGGTACTGGAGGTTCTTCGGCTGCTGGTCCTGGAGGTGCTCGTACTAGGGGTGCTGGAGCTGCCAGGACTGGTGGTGTTGGGGGCGCTGGAGGTGGAGACCCTACGGAGCCTAGAGCTGCTAGAGCTGGAGGCTCTTGCGCTGGTGGCGCTGGCGCTGGAGGCACTGGAGCTGGAGGAGCTGGAGTTGGAGGCACTTGCGCAAGATGCACTGGAGCTGCAGGAGCTGGAGCTGTTGACCCTGGAGCTGGAGGTGCTGTAGGCACTGTGCGGCTGTGACCGTACTTCGTTCCCCTGCTTCAGCAGATTCTTGGTGTCCCGTCTTCTACTAGCCTTACTCCTCCCCTCCTGTGTCCACCGCCTGACCAATCGCAACCGCCGTTTCTGTCACCCTCCCCACTACCTGCTCCTTCTCCTTACAGCGAGCAGTCCAGCGGACTTACTGAGCTTTGTGAGCCTGCGTCTCGTCCTGTCTCGCCTGTTTGCACTGCTCGTCGCGTTCCTCGTTCGCGTCCTCCTCCTGTCCCTGGCACGCACGCTATGGCACTCCGTCCTTCCTCTGTTCCACTGCGTGTTCCTCTGCCTGCTCCTCCCGAGTGCTCTCTTCTTGAGGTCCCTGACCCTGAGTCTGACCGCACTCGTGTTGCCAGTGCCATTGTCGCTCGTCTCCTCGCCACTGCTGTCACTGACCCTTCTTTTGAGTCTGCTGCTGCGTCTGCTCTCGCTGCTGAGCTGGTTGACTTTGCTGCTACCTGCCGTCTAGACTACGCCACTGCTCCTGTTGCTGAGTTTGCGTCTACCAGTCCTCCGTCTGTTGGGGGTGAGTGTGCTCTTGGCACGGACGTCCTTGAGGACAGGCAGGAGGACTTTGAGTGTCTTGCAGCTGCTGTACCTCGTTTTGCTTCCATGCTGCTTACCCCTGAGGGAGACCCGGATGCACCAGACATCCCGACCCCGTGCTCTTACGAAGAGGCGATTACGGGTCCTTACTCCTCTCAGTGGCAGGCAGCCATGGATGCCAAGATGGCATCCTGGAAGTCCACAGGCACCTATGTTGACGAGGTTCCCCCACCTGGGGCGAACATAGTCGATGGCATGTGGGATTTCAGGGTGAAGCGGCCGCCGGGTTCTCAGACTGCCTTCAAGGCGCGTTACGTTGCTCGAGGCTTCAGTCAGCGACAGGATGTTGACTACTTCCAGACCTTCTCCCCCACCCCAAAGATGACTACTCTTCGGGTGTTGCTGCACGTTGCTGCTCAGCGTGACTACTAGTTGCACTCTCTGGACTTCACCACAGCTTTCCTGCAGGGCAGCCTGCACGAGGAGATCTGGCTGCGCCGCCCACCTGGCTTCACTGGGTCGCTTCCTACAGGTACTCAGTGGAGCCTCCGTCGGCCAGTCTACAGTCTCCGCCAGGCGCCTCGTGATTGGCACGATACACTGAGGACTACACTTGCGGCTCTTGGGTTTGCTCCTTCTACTGGTGACCCGTCGCTGTTTCTACTCACCGACACCTCGCTGCCGCCGTTCTACGTCCTCGTGTACGTCGACGACCTCGTCTTTGCCACCGCTGACATGCAGGCACTAACCCTTGTGAAGTCGGAGCTGCACAAGAGACACACCTGCACTGAGCTGGGTGAGCTGCGCAGCTATCTTGGCTTGCAGATCACCCGGGACAGAGCACGGCGCACCATCACCCTGACTCAGTCACACATGGTGCACCAGGTCCTTCAGTGCTTCGGCTTCCAGTTCTCCTCGCCACAGCCCACTCCTTTGTCTACCAGCCACTCGCTTTCAGCTCCACCTTCGAACGAGTCCGTAGAGCCGAGTGGTCCGTACCCAGAGCTTGTGGGTTGCCTCATGTACCTGATGACGTGCACATGACCTGACCTCGCGTACCCTCTCAGCATTTTGGCTCGCTACGTGGCTCCCGGTAGGCACCGAAAGGTGCAGTGGGATGCTGCGAAGAGGGTACTGCATTACCTATGCAGTACGTCGGGCATGGGGCTCGTGCTTGGAGGACGGGGTCCAGTTGTCCTCACTGGTCACGCAGACGCTTCTTGGGTTGACGACTCAGCTACGCAGCGGTCGTCACAGGGTTACACCTTTAGCCTTGGTTCCAGCTCGGTTTCCCGGCGGTCTTCCCGCTCGTCTTCGGTTCTCAGCTCCAGCTGTGAGGCTGAGATCTACGCAGGGGCCATGGCTGCACTGGAGCTACGCTGGCTCACCTACCTGCTGAGTGACTTGGGAGAGCAGCCTCGTTCGCCTCCAGTTCTGTACGTAGACAACAGGGCCATGATTGCCTTGTGTCAGGAGCACAGTCTGGAGCATAGAACAAAGCACATCGCTCTGCGATACTTCCTTGCTCGAGAGTTGCAGCAGCGTGGCCAGCTTTGTCTTGCGTACGTGGCCACTAGGGCCAACACTGCTGATATATTCACCAAGGCACTTCCACCTGGTGATCATCAGCGCTTCTCGACTGTGTTAGGCCTTGTGCCTACTCTTCCTTACTTGCTTACTGCGTGACTTTGCTTGTACTATGATCTATATATATACCTGCATGCTTGCACTTGCTAGGGTATGATCACTGTATTGTTTGTTCTCTTTCATATAACTTTGCATGTGAACTGGCCTTGTGGCCCTTTGCTTGTGCTCGGACTGTGTGGTGACTTTGTGATCCACCCTGAGCTTGCTTTGCTTTTCTTGACTGGTCTTGTGACCACTTGTTCTCCCCCACTTTGCCTATGGGGGTGTGTCAGAGAATTATAGTGCTTACATTTGTGTAGGCCATAGTGGGGTAGCCCATA